GCAGTCGGTCCCAGTGAAACGGGGCGGGAGCCGGAGCCGGAGCCGGAGCCGGAGCCGGAGCGGGAGCCGGGGGCCCGAGCGGGAGGCGGGCCCAAGCAGGAGGAGAAGGTCCGCGAGAGCCGATTGGGCCGAGGCCGGGGCTCTGGGTCGGCCTAGGGGAGGGGTCGTCGCGGGCGCGGCCTGGGCTAGGGCCGGGCCCACCCTCGCGGAGGGGGCGCGGCCTTGGGCCTTGTCAGGGGAGGTGTTCGCCGGGCGTAGCGCCGGCCTATGGGGAGGGTCGTCGTGGGCGGGGCCTAGGGTGACGGAGAACCCGAGATCCCAGCTCTTTTAGGGAAGGTCTCCTAGGGTCGGGCTGACCGAGCCGAGGGGCACTGTGGCCCGGCCTGCCTGTTAGGGATGGGGCTGCCTGAGGGGCTGGGGCCGGATCTCCCGGAGAGGCCGGGTGCTCCCGCCTGGGAGTGAGCCCCCACGACTGTCGTAGGACCGCCCTCCGGTGCCCTGACCTGGCTAAGAGAGGCCCCCGAGAAAGCCCCGAGTTGGGCCGCCTAAGCCGGCCTGAGCCGGTGGTGTGGGCCGAATCTGGGTCCAGCCTCACCGGCCTCACCGCATTGCGTCTCCCGGGCCCAGCAGAGCCAGGCGCGCCCCCTGTAGGCCGAGCGCAGGACTGCCGGCTAGAGGAGGGGGCACCCCGGGGACCCAGGTACCGGGGGACGGGAGGTGTTTACCTAATCCGGGGCTGACAGCGCTGCGGCCCCAGGCCCGGCACCCGCCTGCCCGCCCCCTCGCCTTCACAGGTGGCAAGGCCATGGCCACGATGGTGCTTCCGCGAGAGGAGAAGCTGAGCCAGGATGAGATCGTGCTGGGCACCAAAGCCGTCATCCAAGGGCTGGAGACCCTGCGCGGGGAGCATCGTGCCCTTCTCGCTCCCTTGGTCGCTCCTGAAGCCGGCGAGGCTGAGCCAGGCTCACAGGAACGCTGTGTCCTCCTACGCCGCTCCCTGGAGGCCATCGAGCTGGGACTGGGGGAGGCCCAGGTAGGTCTGTCTGGAGTGCTGAGGTGGGAGGTCACAGAAGAGAGGGTTGGAACCTTCCAGAGGAATTCTGGCAATGTAGGAGCAGAATCTGAACAGGGAACCATCCCTCCCCTGGAGCTCCATGGAAGGGCCCCAGGAAATGTCCGTTGAAGAAATGAATGGGCTTTGGAGACCCCAGTGGGACCTTGCCCCAGGAGAAGCCTGATCATTGTTTAGCCCCCACACAGAACCTTGTTCCTAGCGTCTCTGCTAGGTAGCAAATTCAGAAAGGCATAGAAAAACAGAAAGTCCTTAAGACCCGCCCTCCCAAATTAATTCTTCTATATATTCATTAACAGGTAAGTTACCAAAACCTACTATGTGCCAGGCAGTATGTTAGGTGCCAGGGATGCAGACAAGATTCCTGCCCTAGACCACTAGGAAGACAGAAACACACGTACATTTGTTATACACTGTGATAAGTTCTCCAAAGAAAAGAACAAGATCTTGTAATAGCTTTAAGTGGGAAGTCTTTATCTATTGGTCAGGCAGGACTTCTGAGGAAATGACACTTAAACCAAGACCTGAAGGAAGAAATGAACTAGTCTCCAGAAAAGGGAGGAGGGTAAGGTTGCATGTGCCAAGGTCCTGAGGTGGGAAAGATCTTGCAGAGAACATACCTATGTGACTGGAGCTTCATGGAGAAGGAGAGAGTGACTGAAGAGGCCTATGGGGAAGGCAGGAGTCGGATCACACTGTGCTTATTACTTTGGGTCTTATTCTCAGGAAATTGGGAAGCCTTTGGAGGGCTTTAAGTAGTCAAGGGACACAGTATGACTTAGGTTTTAAAGTCTCCCTCGGGCTGAGATATGGAGAATGAGCTATAGTGGGTCAAGGATGGAGGCAGGTAGGAGGTAGGAAGCCACTGCTGGAATTCAAATGAGAATGGTGGCTTGGACTGAAGGAGTGGCCATGAGGGTGGAGAGAAGGGGACCAGCTATAGATGTTCTGGAGGTGGGTGCAGGAGGACCTGGGAGTGGTGTGAGAAAGAGGACGGGGTAACTCCCAGGTTTGCGGTTAGAGCAGGTTAAGGGGATGAGAGCCTGCATGATTAGGGGTTCTGTTTTGGCCTCTTAGGTTGGGCTGCCAGGACAATATGCGGATGGAGGAGGGGTTAGGCTCCAGGGAAAAGAGTCTTGGCCCCCTCAGATCTTGGCTGAGACACTGGCTGGCTCTATGAATCCTGAGCAGGTGGTATCCTCTTGTCTTTAAAATAGGGATCATGCCATCTGCTATATATACTTCCAGGCTGTTTAGGGAAATTTTTTAAAAAGTTAGTGGTTGTGAAAACACTTGTCATTTAGGTGTTCGCTAATCGACTAGGAAGCGCAGGGTCCCAGACTGCCTGGCCCTCTGGAGGGACAGTGTGTCTGTCATCTGCTCCTTGGCCAGTTGGCTGCCAGGTGCAGAGGTGAACACACAAGGGGCCCCCTCCCCGTGTGTGCAGGCATTGGCACAGGTGGCAACAGGATGGCATGGAGGGATAAAGGGCCCTGCTTTCCTGGCACTGGGGCATAATAGAGAAGAGGCTTCTCTGCAGAAATGACCCTGATCGTGAAGGATGGAGAAAGGGTAGAGCTTATGCAAGACCCTGAGGCAGGAAGAGCCTGGAAGCTCAGGAAAGGAGTCATAGAGGTTGCGAAGAGGATAGGCTGAGGTCAGGCTTCTCAGTCTCTACCTGCCCTGTGGCTCCCGAGCCCTTCTGCTGGGACATGCACCCCGTCCCTCCCTGGGAGCTGCAGAAGGGCAGGGGCTAACCTGGACCCTTGGCAGAAGTCAGGTTGGGGTCTTCAGTCATCCATCAAGGTTCTTTGGGAAAGTGTCAGCCCTGGGGCAGGGGGCAGTGGTTTAGTGGCTGTGGCTGCTGAGGTTTGAGTACAACACCCAGGAGAAACAAAGGAAGAAAATGGCTATCTTGGGGAAAGCACAGCACCCCAACTTGTCCTCTTCATGATTAGCCTAATGAGGTGGGAGCTGGACCACCAATGCAGAGGACTGGCCAGAGGTCCAGGAAAAGGAATAGACTTTCTTAGAGTCCAGCAAAACCGGCCTAGGAGCCCAGGGCTTCTAACCCCAGAAGGAAGGAGTTGGGGATCCCCAAGCCTCCTGGATTCAGGTCTTGGACTATGGTTTGTTTGGGGCCTTGGGAGAAAACTCCCTTGATGAGAGGAGAATTTCAAGTCCCTCAGCCCTGCAGCTTCTCACAGGCAGGGCCAGGCCTAGCCCTTCACTGGACCCCAATTCCCCAGGAGGTCCAGGCTGCGGGTGGACAGGGCTCTGACCCACATACTGCTGGCTGCCACAGGTGATCCTGGCGCTGTCAAGCCACCTGGGGGCCGTAGAGTCGGAGAAGCAGAAGTTGCGGGCTCAGGTGCGGCGCCTGGTACAGGAGAACCAGTGGCTGCGAGAGGAGCTGGCAGGGACGCAGCAGAAGCTGCAGCGCAGCGAGCAGGCTGTGGCCCAGCTCGAGGAGGAAAAGCAGCATTTGCTGTTCATGAGCCAGATCCGAAAGCTAGATGAGGACACCTCCCCCAACGTGAGTCCTACCGCAGCCACTGAAAGGCCAGCAGGCAGGGGGGCCGGGAGGGGGCAGAATGGAACACCCTCAGCTCCCACCCAGCCCCTGACACTTGGGCTACCGCGCACTTTCTTCCCTGATGCTCATCCTGTCTTCCTGCCCAGGAGGAGAAGGGGGAGGTCCCCAAAGACTCTCTGGATGACCTGTTCCCCAACGAGGAGGAGCAGAGCCCAGGTGCGCAGGGACAGCTGGTTCTGGGAGTGGGGCAGAGAGGGCTGAACAAATTCTTGATCCTTGGGACCCAGAGGTCACTAGAAATGGGGAATCAAGTGGATGCCATGTTCTTTCCTGCCTCATTTCTGATCCTCACATCCCAGCATGTTAGAGCTTAAAGGGCAGGTGTTCCATGTTGCTTCTCTCTTCTCCCCAAGCTCTGTGAGAAGCAGGCACTACAGTTCAGAGCTTTGGAGCAGCCAGGCCTGGGTTCAAGTCCTGCTGTGCCACTAATTGCTCTGCGACCACTGGTAGAGTTGTTTTCTCTCTGAGCCTTTGTGAGAGTTAAAGGAGGGCACATGTGCAGTGCTGAGCCCTGGGCCAGTGCTCGCCTCATTGATAGTGCCGAGTGCACATCAGAGCCTGCCTTCTGCAGCAGAGGAGGCTGAGGTTCTGAGGTCTGGTAGTTATCTCTAGGACACAGCTTGAAATACTGCAACTGGGACATTACCCACTCTTTCTGGGGGTGACTAGACCCACTCTACAGATAGGGATTCTGAGGCAAAATAGTAACTTGCCCGGTGCCACATGTCAGGTGAGTTAAAGTCATGTGTGGCATATCTAGGCCAGCCCAGGGGGACAGTTAGGTACATCTGAGCTCCTGCCCTTGGCCTTGCAGCCCCCAGCCCTGGAGGAGGGGATGTGGCAGCCCAGCATGGGGGCTATGAAATCCCAGCCCGGCTCCGCACTCTGCACAACCTGGTGATCCAGTATGCCTCACAGGGCCGCTATGAGGTGGCCGTGCCACTCTGCAAGCAGGCACTCGAAGACCTGGAGAAGACGTCAGGCCATGACCACCCCGACGTGGCCACCATGCTGAACATCCTGGCGCTGGTCTATCGGTGAGGCTTCCCTGGCCACAGGCATCCATGGCAGTCTCTGCACGCTTCCTGAAGGCTCCAGCCCTGGCTCACAAACCCTCGGTGCCTACCATGGGCCAGGACTTGGGCTTCTCCCAGCAGTTGGGCAGCAGAAAGAGGAGCTTGTGCCCAGAGGGGGCTGAGCCCACAGGGTGCCTGGGCCTGCATGGGCCTGGGCTACAGATGTGAGTAAGCCTCAGTCTAGTGGAGGAGAAAGGCTTGGAAATAACCCAGAAAAAGGCAGCACATGAGGACTCCCGGAGCACCAGGGAGTCGGCACAACTTCTCTAGGCACCGTGGCTTGAGTAGGGTCTTTGGTGAAAGGTGAGTCCTCCCAGAACTTGAGAGGATTGGAAACGGTTTCCCTGGCAGAAAGGGTGCAAAGACACTGGGGAATACAGAGCATGGTGCATTGGGCATAGGTGGTAGGGGTGGGATCTCGGGGAGTCTGCCTCGTACCCCAGCACTGTATGGCCTAGTGAGTTGTGAGTGAATTACCCAAAGTCCCCTGAGCTCCTGGAGGGCAGGGGCTGACCAGGTCTTCCCTTGCACTGGATTATAATCATGCCCACTCAGTAAATACAGGAGTGACCAAGGAATCTCAGACCACTAAAGGAAGGGCCTGGGATGGAGGATACCATCACCATACTTCTACCTACCCCCAGGGACCAGAACAAGTACAAAGAGGCTGCTCATCTGCTCAACGATGCCTTGGCCATTCGTGAGAAGACACTGGGCAAGGACCACCCCGCTGTGAGTGAGGCTGGGTGGAGGGGGGGCTGCCACTGCTCTCTGCAGCTCCCAGGCCCCAGAGCCCTGCCCAGCAGGGCCCTGGGTCACTGAGCCTCCGTTCATTCTCCAACTCCCCAGGTGGCTGCAACACTAAACAACCTGGCAGTTCTGTACGGCAAGCGGGGCAAGTACAAGGAGGCTGAGCCTCTGTGCAAGCGGGCACTGGAGATCCGGGAGAAGGTGGGAGCAGGCAGGGATGGGCAGGCCAGGCAGGGGGCCTAGGCCGGCACTGAGCCCAGCTACTGGCTCCCGCTCCCATCCAGGTCCTGGGAAAATTTCATCCAGATGTGGCCAAGCAGCTGAGCAACCTGGCGCTGCTGTGCCAGAACCAGGGCAAAGCTGAGGAGGTAGAATACTACTACCGCCGGGCACTGGAGATCTATGCCACATGCCTCGGGCCTGATGATCCCAATGTGGCCAAGACCAAGAACAACCTGGTACCCTGGACTAGGAGGGGCTGCAGCAAAGAGGGAGGGAAGAAGCGGGGTGGGGGGGGGGGAAG